GTCTAAAAATAAAAGATTTTTCAATTTTGTGTTCTATTGTTCCCAATGGCATGACTTTCAATCACTATTAATATTGTGAATATAATTACTTATAACTACAATGTAAATATATACAGCACCGATAGATTGCAAAAACATTACAACAATCTTTCACCGCAATATTGCAATATTGCAAATTCACTGCAAAATGTTGCTACATATCATTGCTGTTGAATTGCAGCAATGTTAAAATGTCCGCTTTTGGAAGATTGCAACAAAATATTACAACAATATTGCAATGTTATGAGTTTGCAATAATGCATTGTTATTGCAACCATAAACTAATGTTGCATATACAGGTAATAAATGTAAATAAATCATTAATGAAATACGTTGTAGTTAAATGTTATCTATATTTTTGTTTATTGCAATGTAATCACAAATAAATATAATCACAGTCGATTATATATAATCACAAATAAATATTAATCACAGTTGATTATATATCATAAATATAATCACAATCGATTAATCGAAACTTAAAGATAATTTTAAATTTGGCGTATGGGCTAGCATTAATTGCCCACTAGCTATAAAGAAACTTAAAGATAGTAACGACGTAGAGTTTGAACCATAAACTATATAATTCCAAACATAACATTTGAGCCTTAAAACATAGTTTGTTTTCAGTTAAGAGAACTTAAAAATAAAGATAAGGAATTATGTTAAAACAAATAAAGTAAATCATTGAACATAAAAAAAACTTAGAAAGAGCATTATAAATATTATAAACTTAACGAGGCTGATTTCCTTTCCTGTTAAGGATCTGTAAAAATAAAATAATATTAAAATTCATATACTTACATAAAACCTCACCTACATAAAAATATACATACTGCATACAAGTATTTATAAAATTATATAAAATATAAACGCCTTAAGTACATACTTTGCTCTCTCAATTCGAACAGCAGCTTGGGCTAGCCACTTGGCAATAGTTGCGCCAATTTCGGTGTCACTTATATGTTTATGTGTTGTACGAATAGCTTCTATAACACAAAAGTTATTATAAACATTACAATATAGTGTGTGCTTTTCACAAATGTTTAATTTGATACTAGTGGGGAACGTAAAATTATATAAAAAATTTAACTTACGTATAATTATTCTTGCAAGTCCTAAATCTTGAAAGCTTTTTTTAGCTTTTTTTCCAGCCCAGCTAAAATGCTGTGCCAAATTATTTGTCACAGCTTTTTTTAAAATGTTACGTATCATTATGTGTGCTGTACTTCCACCCACAAGTTGAAACGTATTAATCTGAAAAAATACATGATTATTAATAATATTAAAAAATATTGTTTTATACTCTCGTATTGATTGCGCTCTCTTTCTCCCCCTTTTCCTTTTTTTCTAAATTATTAATTAATTATTAGATTAATTAAACTATGTATAAAGCATAGGCTTTCTAAATGTCAAATTCAAATATAAACAAAGACTTATAGATTATTAGATTAATTACATTATTAATTATTAGATAAATATTAAATGTATTATATTATTATTTTATTTGGAATTTTAGCAGTATGCGATAAAAATAAAGAATATATTTTTAAAATATTCACCGCTTTATCTTTGAAATTAACATCTTTTAATTCTTCTTCAAAAGTTGTTAATTCTTCAAATGTTGTTATAGGCAGTTGTATAACAATCTCTTCTTGGCTGGAATAATTAGAACGTTGCATTTTCTCATCTAGCATGTCGATTTTATTTTCAATACTATTAAGTTTATATAAAACTTTATTTAGTTTTACAAAAACTAGTTTTTTGCATTCTGAAAAAATATTTTATTAAATTATTAAGTATTGCAGTTAACAATATTTATTATTAATAATTGTGTGAAAATATATCTGTGTACATGTATTTATATATATTGTTTTGATATAAAACATTTAAATCTTATAGATATTACATTTATATAAATATAATATATATATATAGAAACATACCACCAAAATTTTCTATATCGCTATCAATAGATTTTCTGTAAAATCTTTTGTGTCTTTGAAATATTTTCAATGTTAACAGTTTTATCTAAAAAGCAAAAATATTATTATACACACAAAAATTATTTTTAATATAATATTTATAACAAATTATTACTGCTTAACACTTTTACTTACTGTAAGAATTTTGATATAAAACATTTGTAGGATTGTTTTCTGTGAATGTCTGCATATGCTTTTTTTGAGGTACAAAATTTCGAATTTCTGGACATGCAGGTAGGAGGTTACTACAACTTTGTCTTGCATAATTGTTTTCATTTAAATTATCTCCATTAAAACATAGATCTTCGTCTGAAGAAGATGACATAATTTTCTTGGCTTTCTCACGTCTTCTTTTTTTCTTTTGTATGTTTAATTCATCAGATGATGCCTCTATATTAGATGTGTCTTCAGCTATGATTAATTTTCCATACCTTCTTCATAATTATCTGTAAAATTTAAAACAATAATATGTTATATAATAAATTTTAATTTACTAATAATAACTTGTAAAATGTACTATAAATAGGAAAAAGTGTTCAAAACTTTTTTTACTATATAAGTTCTTAATATAACAATTATAAATATAATAATTAACTTTTACCTGCTCTGCCAAAAATCCTTTTCACTGGTAATACTTCCCATTCAACATTTTGTGGCATTTCTCTTGTTATTATTGCTTTATTTATTCTAAATTTACTTTTAAAATGAGTAGGCCAAATACTTGAACGTTTATCTGCATTGTACCACAATGCAGGTATTAGCTGAAGTCCATCGTTAAATTCCGCAATGACATAATCGGTATTCATTTTTCTTTACAATGCAAAATATGTATATGTACTGAAGCATATAAAACATAAATGTATGTTCATATGTATACAACAAAATATATGTAATATATATATATATATATATATATATAAAGAGAGAGAGAGAGAGAGAGAGAGAGATTGATACAAAATAATCGCATTTTTATTATGTGTGATTTAAAATCATTTTACATCGTATGGTTTAAGGGAAATACTGCGAATGTATTAGGTTTATTTGCAAGAGGAATTTTCCATACTTTACAGAGCACATCTGTAATTGGATAAGAGAATATTTCATCGCTATTGAGCATCATCACTTTTATACCAAGCTCACTTGATTCACAAGGTATTTTATATACATTATTTACATATGTGAGTTTTTTAGCAATTACAAAATATTTTCATTTTGTTTCACTATATTTAAAATAATAATATAACACCCGTTTACTAAGAGACAACAATTATTACCGTTATATTTTTACAATGTATATGAAATTTTGTAGTGGATAACTGTAAATATTGTGATTGAGACTGAATATAATCAAGAATTGGTCCATCATTATGTGAATATTTTAATGAACATAAGTCTTTTTTAAAGTCTTTTTTTTGTAACAAAAAATCAATATTTCTTTTTCTTTGTATCTTTTTACCAATTGTTGCAGTGGTTTTTCGTTCTTTCTTAATAATTTTTTAATAGACATCATATAGTTTTCAAAGCGAAATGCACTGAACTTATCTAACGGACCATATATTTTTACATCCGAGCATAAATGTAATAAGTTGTGGACATTATGTGACACAAATTTTTTCCCATACAATATTTCAAATGATAAAACGAAATTTTTAAGTAAAGCCTCTGCATAATCTATAAATTTTGTTTTACATAAATCCGGACGAACAAGAATTGTAATTGCTACGTGAAGCATAAGAAAGTGATTATACAAATTTTCTGTCAATGAATATCTTAAAACAATAGGTCCGGTATATAAAAGAAAATTTCTGAATTCTACAGCTTTCCATTGTTTTACATCTTGTATACATCTTGGCTTTCTAACAAAATCATTGGGTGTACTATTCTAAGTAGGATTAATAAATATGATATTCTTTTAATTGATCTTGGTCTTAACCGTACAGAAAGCGGTCCTTTTATCCATAAAAGTATTAATTTTTAACAACGCCCAATAATACAAGATGCATATAGTCTAAAGGTGTGTTCGTTATAGGTAAAAATTTCGGAATATTATTTACAATAGAGTAACCTATCTGAAAATTCTTATAACCATTAATGGCAAAGAGGTCATCAGTTCTTAAAAAATATGGTGCATTTGGAAAGCATACTCGACCGTTCAAATATTTTCCTTTTATTGTACATTTTGTACAACTGTAGAATCCAGTGTGACCCTTTGTATGTAAAATGAAGGATTTTGCTGGTGCATCGCATATCAAACCAAATAATTTAATTTTGATCACGTGTTTATCATAAATGTAACCATTGTTAAAGGAAATTAAATCATTAACCAATGGTTCAAGAAAAGTATTACAATCTTGCGGCTTTTTTTCTCCAAAATATGCACCAACAAAATATACATCTTCATTTACTGTATTTGAAAGTAAAATAGGCCACAATGAAGCCTGTGATGACTTTGATAGAGGAAGACCATCTATATTTACAAGTAAATCTATATATTTTTCGTTCGATTTTAGAAACATTTTCTTAATCACATTATCCAAACCCGCATAAAAATATTGTCCACCGCATGCATTTATTACATCAACTTGTGTGAGTTTCAGTAACGTCCGTATATCTTTTGAAAAGTTATATGATGTATATTGCTGCAAAAGTTTTATCAATGCATTACATGCATTGTGATTAATATTGTACGATAAAGCCCATGTAATTAAATCATTTTTAAATTTATTATCACCATTATCATCATCATTGTAATTTCTGCTTTTATTTTCTGTGATGACATTTTCACTATCATTATCATGATTACAATCTATTTCCATGCTAGGATTATCATTTTGACATGGTAGATAATAATTTTCATTGTTACAGATTTCAATTTCAGAATTAAGTGTTTCATTAGTGTCTTTATTAAACGCATAAATATTTATATCAGTATTTTTATTTAATCTAGTCAAACAATTATCTTTAAAAGATCTATTGGTACTGCATGATTGTTTAATGATTTGTGTAGATAATCCTGCTAGATCAATATTAGTTTGATTTTCAATAATTCTCCTAATATGACGTTTTGAAACAGATATTTTACCTTTTAATATATTAGACATATTATACATTTAAGTTTAAGCTTGTCAGTACAAATACAAATTTTTTAAAATAAATTACATATTTTTTAGTTATATCTGTAAATGTAATATATAATTCAAATAATTCAATAATTATTAATTAAAGATGAGAAGAAATAAATCCTACATACATAAGAATGCTTACCTATTAATGAAATGCTAATATATACATATATTAAAAGTATGTACGTATTACTCAAGATATTATATGTAGAATCCTCCTTGCCAAAATGTTTAGTAATATTCTCTGAAACAATATAGTAAAAATATTTTAATATAAAAACAGATTAATTTGCCTATATTTATTTGTATATAATGTGTTGTTTATACTATTACACATAATACAAAAACATATGCTTATTCTAGAGACAAAATCACATATATCCTCTCAAAATTTCAACTTGATTAGAACAGTAATAATTATATTTATCTATTATGTGCCTTTATATATTTTCTTATTTCAATATTTCTTGCTTTCTTTCTGGTTTTCTATTTCACATATACAAATACATATTATCTGCAATGCGACAAATGTATATGCACAGTGCGAACTGTATAAATAGTTGAAACACTCATCACAAGTAAGAAATGATAATATAAATATACACACATAAAGCACTAGCTACAGATTTATATATATTATATTACTTTTTATGTATTATAATTATTTATTTTAACTGCTGCCTATATTTACCTCTAAAGTATCTATAGTTTCATATTACTGTATCATAGAGATATGTACATATATCCCATAGCAAAATAGAAAATTAAATAAAGCAAAAATATTCACTTAAAAAATATACGAAGATATATCATAAATAAATATATAGTTTTTACTTTCCCAATCAGTCTCAGTCTCCTTGAGGTTATAGAGGTTATAGGTTCTTATTAACTTTGGGACAAGTAATTCTCTTTATAATTACGAAATATAGATTTTTAACTTTATAGTATATCGTTATAATTAAACATAGTATTATCAAAAAAATGCTTACCTTTTCCTTTACACAGCAAAACAAGTCAATGCGAGTTACTGTACACGTGATAACCACGAGTTGCAACGGTCTACGTCTACTACGTAGCGAAGCCGGCGCCTACTATACACGCACACATGTATTGCGCAGAGCGTTCGGCGCAGAAATTTAAGCCAATGATTTAATAAAATTATTGATTATCGTTAACATCTTTTATTGTACAATATTGCAAAAAATTATTTTATTACAGTATTATACCCAGCAAATACCAAGTTACAGTTATATAATTTTGTAATTTTCCACTCAACAATATAATTGTTATAATTAATACACGTATTATATTTTTGAGTGGGAAATTACAACTAACAATTATATAGCTGTAATTTGGTGTTTGCTGGGTACATGTATATATATTACAATATATAAATTATAGAATTTGGATTACATGCAATATTTCCGAAATATTAATGTCATGTTGCTACAAGTGTGCTGGAATTTTGTGCACCTATATCTCTGCAATGTCTTTATAATGTTGCATTGCAACTTGCAACATTGCAACGTTGCTGCAATATAATTGCAATAATCTGTGCTGTATTGGGTATCGCTTCTGCTTTAAAAGTAATTGATAATACTTTGATTTATATTAAAAAGCTTCGTACAGATAAAGGGTTCGAAGAGATTGTTGCAACTGCTGTCGAGTTAGCAAATTGTCTTGAAATACCGACAGAATTTAAAGAAAGCTCAGAAATCCGAAAAAGAAAAAAAACAAGCCAATTTGACTATAAAGCCCAAGATGAACCAATACAGAATCCTAAAGATAAATTTAAAATTAATTTCTTTAGTGTGATTTTGGATGCATCTATTACATCAATAGAAGACAGATATGAACAATTAAAAAATCATAACAAATATTTTGAATTTCTTCATCATTTACAGAACTTAAAAGATATGGAAATATATCAATTAAAAACGTGCTGTTCTAACTTAGAATTGTATTTGACACACGGTGACGACAAAGATATCGACTCGGTTGATTTATTTAACGAATTAAAAGTTTTGAAAGACAGTTTCTTTTCAGAAATCAAAGATTTGAAAAGTTCGTTGAGTATATTGACTTACATATATTCAAATAATCTTGAATCATCGTTTCCAAATATGTGCATATCTCTTCAAATTTTGAATACATTACCTATATCTGTGGCATCTGGTGAAAGAAGTTTTTCTAAATTAAAACTTATTAAAACTTACTTAAGATCAAGTATATCACAAGAAAGACTGGTGGGCTTAGCATTGATAGCAATTGAACATGACATATGTACGGAGTTAAATCTAGAAGATCTCATTTCTGAATTTGCCAGTTTAAAAGCGCGTAGAGCAATTTTATAAATACGATTTAATATAAATACAATATATTTTTAAAAGCGTTGTACCTTTTTTTAGTATTTAAGTAATTTTTATTATTCAAAAATTATATTTTGTTCAGTGTATATTTACATAAAACATAATATAAGATATATATGTTATGTTTTAAAAATTTTACTTATGTTTACATATTTTGTACGTTTAAAAAATTGTTCGCAGTACATACATATAATTTATAATACAAACACATTTTTATAAATAAATATACATTAATATTTTGAATTATTTATTTATGAAAATTATTTATGTTCGAAATTTTATTATACGTATATTATATGAATAGGTGTTGGTGTTAATGAGAGAAGGGGGCGCTTTTTAAAATCTTGCATAGGGCGCCAAAAATGCTAGGACCGGCCCTGGTGTTCTTCCAAGTGATGCTACTAACTAAACCTAACCTCGATATGTGCCAGTAGTGCTATCTCTCTGACTTTGCACGGACTTTTCAAACGACCCCCGTATATGCCCTTTCTCTTAGTTATATTTACGTAAACCTTACTGTAATTTATTTATTATAGATTAGATCTTAAAATCTTAAATTCTTGAGATGTTATTTTTGATGCAATTATTCAATAATCTAGAAGGTAAGGTTTCGTGAATATAATTAACAAGTTAACGCTCGATAAAATAGCGTTTCTCAGATTAGGCATCGCTAGAGATTTATGGAATCTTCATAATAACTTTATCAAGGCTAGAGCCTTTATTATAAAGGTGGTTGAAGCATCTTATCAATCATTCGAGTATTCGAAATATTATAATTATATTATATTATTATGTTATGATTCCATAAGTTCTATTGTTTCTTAATCTTGAACATGTTAGTGTTGCATTTATATGCAGTTCAGTTATAGCGTTTTCGATTGGAGTGCACTGGCTGCACTGAATGTCAGGCGCGTGTTCGATTGGTAGTGCCAATGCGCACTTGGCTAGTGTTGCGTGTTCGTTTGAAATCACAACACTCGCATAGTGCGCACTCAGTGCGCACTAAGTGGCACGAGATATTTTGACGGTGCCAGTTCAGTGCACTGGATGCATGCAAGCAGTAGGGCATTCTTTTGAACGAAAATTCGACATAATGAGCAATTCGGATTTGGCTCTCTTTAATATTTTGGAGACATTTTTGGAATCTTCTTCTAGTTTAAGCGAGCAAGAAGAAATAATTACAACTCTTCGAACTAGAAGAATAATTCCAAAAACTGTAAATTATGTAGAATGTGTGAAAAAAATGGATAATGACACCGTAAGTGTTATATCTTTTTATATAAACATCGAACCTATACCCTTTTTTAAATATAATTAATGTACTTAATGTAATAGCATTTTATACTGAATAATAATAATTTTTATATTTGTCATAGTTTTGTAGGCACTTCAGAATGTGTCCAGAAACATGTGAGCAATTAATAGATGGTTTTCAGCAATCAGATTTCTTTCCAAAAAATGAAATGCATACAATTATTGATAAATACGTGATATTCTTGATTATCTTCTATATTTAATTACATATAATAAAAATCATTACTTAACTGAACACAAGATGTCGAGGTTACTTTTTCGTTCTTCCCGGAATCTAGTCAACTCAAGTGGCACTGAAAATTTCGGCGTGTTCTTTTTTACCTGCACTATTCAGTGCAATCCATGGAACTTGTCCAGTGTTCGTGTGAACTGAGTGCGCACTGGTGCGCACTAACTTTTTCCCAATCGAAAACGCTATTAGTCGCACGAATGTGCACGTGTGGTTGGAAGTATGCGCTCCGGTATGGTCTAGTGACGCTGTTCGATTGGCTGAGCCGCTTAGTTAGAACTAGGAAGACCCTATATGTTAGTACGGTTAGTAAAATCGTCCCAATAATTATGAATAATGAATAATAATAATAATAATGAGAAATACAATTGCATTTCTTAAGTAATTATTCAGAAGGATTTGTAGCGCACAAAAATACGGTTTCGAAAAAATGACGGGATGTTACAATCTGAAGGATCTGCTGCATTTTTGGCATCAATCTGTTGTCAACACTTTCGACAGATCTGCTTGCTACTCATTGCCACTTTGTCAATATAGTCTGCTAACAGACATTGGGAAATATTTACTAAATTTATGCTCACAGTGTTTGTAATGACAAAATATGTTTCTTATCTGCGGCCATTTTACAAACAAAAGTTGTTTACATTTGCCTCCACAGAAATGGTTAGCTGTGTGACGTCTTGCCATTGGTCGAAACCCTAATTTTTTCGCGCTAACATCATTTCTTGCGAGAACCTATATAATTAACTATTTTGAGAATGATTTAACTTAGAATTAGACGTTTTTATTATTTATCGTTAGTAATACCGGCATAGGGAATCTTCTAGTTGTAACTAGTCTAAGGACTAGCAACGCGACCAATCCAACACAACAAGCGCATACCTATAAATTACTAGCCGTCGCCATCTCTTACAACCCTAACGGTATGAACGATAAATGCGAAATATAATCAATGTGTGCAAATCTATTAATCAATGTGTGAACCCTATAATCAACATGTTTGAAATTGAGTAATCTTATTTATGGAATAGTAAAATGATGAATCGTCTGAATAAATATCTTAATCGCACAATGGTGAATAAATTATAAAAATTGATAAATTCTAATGACCGACTATTTGTCATAAAATATTCCATAAAATCTTGTCTTTAAATTATAAGATAATGTAAACGATGCGCCTCAATTGTAATTATATTTATGGAACCTTACTATCTTTATCACTATTTGAAATTACTCGGATTCTTGCAACTTAGTATCAGAGATGTTATTCTTCTTTTTCAATATATTTACATAAATAAGGATTCCATGAATATAACAACATTTCACCGTAACTATATAAGAATATACCACGTTGTGAAATCATAACTATATAATTTAGCAATCATAACTTTATTTCATTATATAAAATTGCAATAACTAGATATAGCAAAGAATTATATAGAGAACGATTTCAGAAACGTATAGAAGCTAGCAAGCGAACAATAGAACCCCAACGTGCGGCTACCGTTTGAACTTTCTTTGTCGCCCGGACCGCCCCCGATCTTGACACGATAAGCAACCCCGCGCCTTTCGAGATGCTAACACCTGCACGTCATGAACCTCGAGAACCAACAAATCATAGACTTTTACGACTTATTTGCTCTTAGATTTTCTCGTCGCCTATCACCTTATATGGTCATGATAGATCCTCTTGACCATATTTGGTCAAAAGAAGAGCTCACTCGTTGCCTTCTCAAAACCCCTAAACCACCCCCTTCTTTTATAAGAGAATTTATTATGATATCTTCTTAAAAAAGCGTTTTCGTGGGAATCCTCCCACACAAAAATTTGCACGCGACACCAAGATTTTTCGTTTCCAAGGAGTATATAAACCCTAGAAAATCTGGCCACATGACGGCATTTCATCATAGAAAGTTACAGTGTACATTTTAAATTGTCGCTAGCCAAGAAGTGCAGCAACAATTTTGTACCATCCTAAAATCATCATAACGATCTATAACGCAAATCTCGGAATATATAACTTGTCAACGACGCCTAATCGCTGTAACCCCGTGTAAATTTGTAACTTGGTATATTGTTCAAGTCACGGGTTAGCAGTCGAACTCGCTGACTTCTTAATTCTTAATCTCGCATAATTTATAACCAGGTTAAAGACGAATAAAGAACTTCAGAGCATCGTACAACCTAGTGTTTGATTTCGTCATAAGCACCCCACGACCGAGGTCCTTGCGAGGGAGCGAACCTGGCCAGGCACATCACAGGTCTACGAAGA